ATCTCTTCAAAATCATTCAAGAGGGGCTGTTCCCCAAGGGTTCCATGTCATAGAGTTTGAAAACTGTGTGAGTCTCTATACTTGCCTTCCTTTGGCACTAATTATTTTGTCTGCTCCTGAATTCTTTTAAAAAGGCCTTGTTCCTTACTGCGAACAAAGGACCAGTTTATTTTAGCCAATGTCATGGTTGGTTTGGTTCAGTGCTTGTTTGGAACAGTTAATCAATCAATCACTGAGTGACTCAACAAATATTTATTGAACAGCCCCACATGCAGCAGTCTGAAGCACAACACTGTATCTGCCCTCAAGGATGGAGGGTCCAAGACTTGACACGTTCTTATTGGAGGAGGAGATCCTGAAATACTGACTCTTGAAATATATGCAGAATCTGGGTGTGCAGAATGGGCCATGACAGACATGGTCACTGACATGGATAAAAAGTGAACGGAGCCTAATGGAAGTTGAGACCCACAGAAAGTCAGACATCCAAAGAATCCTCTGTTTAATTTTGTGAGGATTATATGTGATTTTGTGTTATATACCAGATTAACTTTCCTGGTTTGTGGACTTGTATTATTTTCATGTTGCTACTTAAAAATTAGCATAAACTTGGTGATTTAAATGAGCACCATTTATTATCTTACAATTTTGGAGACCAGAAGTCCAAAGTTAGCTATTTTGAGCTAAAATCAATACATCAATACGTCAACAGTTGTTCCCTCTGGAGGCTCTAGGGGAGAATAGGTTTCTTTACCTTTTCCAGCTTCTAAAGCTGCAATCCTGGTTTAACTTAGTACATGGCCCCCTTTTCCATCTATGGAGCAAGTAGCGTAGCATTTTGCTTCAGTGGTTATGTTTCCTTCTTGATCAGTGTCAAATCTCCTTCTTCCTTGTAAGGACAATTGTGATTGCATTTATGGCCTGGATAACCCAAAACAATCTCATCTGAAGATCCTTCATTTACTGGTATCTGTGAAGTCACTTTTGTATAAAGTAACATTTGTAGGTTCGAGGGATTAGGGTATTTTGGGGGGATGTCTTTGGGAACCAGCATGCAGCCTATCACAGACTTCTGAAATGCCTTCAGACTCTAGGAGAAAATATCAACAAAAGGAAATTATCAGTCCCTCTTTTGAAAGGATGGGCAAGGATGAGGAAAATATATATCCAGAACTGGAACTGGAGATATGACTAATTCAGAATGGATTACTGAGTATGTGTTTGGCCTCCTGTTTGTCCTACAGACACTGTGGCTTTTGAGATTCTACTATGTTGGGCTCACCTAGGAGTGTCAGTGGGAATACCCTAAGGCATAGACTCAGACCCATGTGGGTAGATTAATTGAAGGACCGAGACCTTGCCCTTGATTTGTCAGCAGGAGCCACCTACTTTGAAGCCAGGAAGGACTCCCGCTGTATCACACTGCCATCATCAGTGTCTAGCATCTGGCTCATCATCTGGCGGAACACCTTCTTGTCTATGCATCCAGCAGTTGGGATAATCTTAACAACATCAAGGAGATTTCTATTCAAATGGACATTCGCTCTGCTTCCTGGTCACATAGGTTGATGTGTTACTCCAAGCCAACTCTTTTGTTATGCTGCCAGCCAAATGCACCCTTGAAGCACAGCACAGCTCAGTATTTTGTAAGCACAGTATATCCATGTGCATTTTTACATTTTTACTCATTCAAAGCCCAGAGCCTATCTTGTCTCTTCACACATGGCATAGTAGCCTGGGACTCCTAAACCTCCACGTACTGGCTCTGTGATTTCATGATGTTCACTGTTTTCCCATTCCCAGGACTCTCAAAAGTGTAAGTTCTTCAAATACAAACTTTTCTTACATCTTATTTATATATCTTCTTAGCCACTGATGTCATCTTAAAAATACCAGCCTGAGTACCACTCACCATTAATTGCTCTTCAAATGAGCACCATGGTGGGGAGAAATGTGAACTAAAGCCTGTAGGTTTTCTTAATAGGACTTAAGTATTATTTATGTTCTGATAATATTTTTATTGGAGGCCTTTGATAAATCACTTCTCAACTTTGGGTTTCGTACTTATTTTAGAGGGTGATAGGATAAAAAGTTCATGGCTGCAAAGGCATTCTGAAAGACAGTATTAGTACAGAGCATTATTGTTTTTTTAACCACAGTAATTGTTAGTCAATTTAATTATAGGAATCATATGAAAACACTTTTAAGTTTGACTAAAATAACTTTTGAGTATTTATCAATAAATAAAATTTTTGAGGTGAGAAGGATCACAGGTATTATTTGGTCAGTATCCCAGAGAAATAATTTCCATAAAGGCAAAGACTAGTTAGTGGCAAAGGTGGGAAGAGAGTCCAGATTCTTTTTTTTTTTTTTAGTTGAAAACTGCTTATTCTACCACTTCGTCATACTGATAATAAATAATTAAAACGAGTGGCTAGATTCCTTACCTTTGATTTCTCCACTTAGATTAATAATGCTTTATGCTTTCTGAGTTGGTTAATTAAATATATTTTCTTCTGTTTTCTTTTATACTTAAATATATTATTAATGCTTTGCAATTTTTATTTTCAAGGCCAATTACTTTGTTGTTTACCTTTGTAAATTGCCAGTTTTTAGAGTATTGACGTCATAAGTAGATGTTTTTGTTTGGCTTTGGAAAGGTCAAGTTTCTTTGTTCTCTTTTATTTTAGTCATTTTGGATGAGAATGTTCCAAATATAGACTGCATTAGCTTTTGTTATTTAGAAAAGATGAACCAAATTATAATTTTTCTCGGGTAATTGGTTCTATACACAGAGAACCCCAAATAATTTACAAATATTCAAATCAATAAAATTATTGTAATTGGGTACATTTTTTTTAAAACTGTCTTTCTACAAGTCAGAAAACAAAAATTTGTAAAAAAAGATTACATTTAGGAAGGTGAAAATAGCAACAAAAATTTTTACAAAGGACACTGGCAGTGCCCTGTTTCCGTGGTCATTGTTGGAAAGGTCTGAGTCCCCTTTTCTCCCCCAATGTGATGCACAGATGAAATGACAGGCAGGCCTGGGAAGGCAATGCAGACCTACCTAACCGAATGCAACACATATCTTTTCATACCTCAACCTCAGTGATCTCATCTGAAGTCTGGTAGAAACAGTAAATTGTTCATTTTCATTACTGACTTGGATTCCATTGCTTAAACATCTAATAGGTTTTCCATTCTCCGACTGATGGACAACTGGGCTGTTCTGTTTTTGTGTCTCTCAGATTAATATTTAGAATTGAGATTAGGGGATCCCTGATAAATATATCATACCCAGAATTTGAAGCTGCCTCATCCCTTCTGTTAAGCAGAATTATAGCATAGGATGAACGACAGGTCTCTGGGGCTGCAGCTCCTTGACTGAAGTCATGAGATCATGGATCACACATCCTAAGATGTTGTCCAGAGAGGTAATTAATTAATTAATTAATTAGGGCCAATGCTCCAGTACATCTGTGCATCTGCATAGCTAGAAATTCCTATTTACCTTTCCTAAAGATTGTAAAATTCAATCTGTATTTGTAGTGAGCTTTGAAAAATTGCCTTGCCAGGGAAGAGCTAAGTTGTATTATTATGCAGGAGACATATTTGGACTGGTGTATAAATTGTGATAATCCCAGAGTCTTTGAAAGTACCGAGGGAAATGGATAGATCTATTTTTTAATCGGTTTAGACAGCTGTCTACACAGCTGCATCCTGGCTATTTGTCTTCACCCAGTCACATGGCCGAGGACATCTGTCTGGGCTACTTCCCACCCTGAGAAAACTAATGAGGTCGTTGGACACACATCCGAGCCAGATCTAGAGAGGCTCAGTGAACACTGGGATTACTGTTGGTCTGTTTCTTGTTTTTTGTTTTTTTGTTTTATTATTATGTTGTAGGCACATGTTTTGTGAAATATCTCATCATTTTTAGAATGGCAATTTCAGGCGCTGTGACACAGGACACCTCTTTTGTTTGGAGGGAACACAGCATTAGTTTCTCAGTTAATCTCAAATGCTGGCTACTGCTACTTAAAAGACTGCTCTTTCTTTCTTTCTTTCTTTCTTTCTTTCTTTCTTTCTTTCTTTCTTTCTTTCTTTAAACAAAGAGAGCAGTTGGTTCTTCCTATTCTGGAGAGGGCCTCCCCTGAGAATTGGTATTCATCTGCTGAGGAAGAGACAGGAAATGCTTCCCTAAATTTGCAACCCCAGAAAGGGAATATGTCCATCACCACCATTGCACCAAAATTCTGATACTTGGAAATTGATAAACGTTTGCTTTCTTTGTTCCCCTTCCCTCAAAATTTTTCTCTCTCAACCCTATTTACCTCTACTGCTGGCCTTTGTTTCTCAGCTCTACCTGTCTAAAGCCTGCTCAGTTTTCATGCCCAGTCATCTCCAATGGTAAGAGAATGTATTCACTGCTCGAGTATGTTCTCATTCCCTTTCTGTTTCTACTGAGATTCATTTTCACCTCTATTGGTCTTTGTGTTCTCTTGTCCACCTTCCTTACTAGTGAAGCCAGCCGAGGTAATGCCTTATTTATCTTTGTGTTTGACTTCTTACATTGCCAGTGGTTAACAATGTCCCAAATACTTTTTTCTGGGTGATTTATGGGATAATCTAATGAAATCATGCAGTATGTCCTTCGTATGAAAATTCTGAAAATGTATATCCTGTAATTGTTGGAATATTCTTAGACTAACACACTAAATATTGCTATCTGCGGAAATCACAATATCCCTGTTGTAAAATAAGGGCAAGTGAATGTAATGTGCCCTTTTACACCAGACATGAATTGAAGAATCAGGGCAGGAGAGGGGCTGAACTGGTGAAATCCCAAAGAATACGAGTGCAGAATATTATATTAATGGAAACAAGTTGTGAGCAAAGTAATGTCTCAGAAATGAGATGTTTTTGAAGGGCTTCCTTCAGGTTTCTCTATTCATCTTTGGGTTATTCCTTCTGATGGGTGTTTTGATTTTGTACAGGTTCCTTGGAATGGAGATGGTCTAGAAAATGAGATACGAATATGCACTTCATGATTATAAAAACAACTGTCATCTGGAGCAGAGTGACATTTCCATGGGGCCGAACTACAGGATGAACTTGAAGCTGGCTAAAGAAAGTACGGTAAAGAAAGGAAGGCTTTACTCTTTGTCGCGTTCAAAAGAGGTTGAAGACCTGTTTTCTGAGTGGATGGGGAGATGGTTAACATCTTCCATCTGTTGAAAGAAAGATTACCCCACCCCCACCCCTACTATAAGAAAACATAGGGATGAAATATTAATGTGAAGACAGGCAGGGGGCTAAGGAAGGAGAAGGGCAGAAGGAAGCCTTTGGCAGATAGATCTATGCACAGAGGACTCCAGGAAAATTCTCGGTGGACACCCACTCTATCTTTTTCCTTATCCTATCCCTAAGTCTTTAGAATTTTGCCAAATTTTCAGCCTGGTGTTTGCTGTTCTGGGAGGAATGAAGGGAGGAGCCACACTTGGAATGAGGTGGAAAAGGAAAGCCAAAGCAATGTAGAGCCAGGGTGTGGGTGTGGACTGACAAGGAAGGCAGATGAGAGACCAGAGACAAGTAACCACCATGAATGGTAGGTTGCCTGGTCGAATTCCTTATTAGAAACTGGAGATAGAGCTGCCTGCCTGAATCAGTATCAGGGATCGAAAGATTGTTAACTAGATGTTAAAGGAGGGATGATTTCCTGAAGGCTGGAAAACTTAGGGACATTTTGTTTTATCTTAAAACTGGAGGAAATAGACAAAACTCTGGGAATAGCAGCCATCCACTCTTCTCTTAAATGGCCAGGACATGAACTAGAAAACCTGAGACCATCCAGGGAGGAACAAATATAATAATGTGACTGGCCAACCTGAAGAACACAGGTGTCCTGTCAGTGTGGATCACCATGAGACTGACCCTGAAATAGGCTGGAGAATGGAGAGAAATGGCAGCATGGGTGTAATTTCCTTTCTGATCAGTGTAGGAGAACCATGATGAACAGCCCCTCAATGAAGAGGTCTTTGCCCTTTGTACCACTTAAACGCAACATGTGAGAGGAGGGAGGCCTTGAAATATTTAGGCAATATGTAATAAGATCATTTTCTTCTTGAAAAGAAAATGTCTTCTTTCTTTCTACCCTGTTTTGATGATCATATATATGTATTTTTTATGGTTTGACTAAAGCAGTTGGATTTGCTCATTGGGTGGGAAAATCTCTTGAGAACAGACTTTCTCCTAGCTCCAACTGTGGCAGTGATAGCTCATGTGTGACCTTTGGCGGGGTACCGTGGGCCTTCCAGCGCAGGCCCTGGCTGTGTCTGATAGGCACAGATGCTCTCCACTGAAAATGTTCAGATGGGCCAAAGTGAGAGGCTGTTGGCTCTGCAGTGTTAGCGGGATGAAGGTGGAAAATTAAACGTAATTGCATCCATGTCATCCAAACTAAATGACATTTTAAAACTCTGCATATGGATTTTGTTTCCCTTTTTTATTGTTATGATTTTCAGAGGCATCTGTGAGCACTTGTGGATATTCAAAGTAGGATGCCATAGTACCCTTTAGTAAAGGGTTTATCTTATGATAGAGTACTGAGTTCAAAGTTAGACTACTAGTGTTTACATCTTGGTCTTGAGTGCTATTTCTGCTTAATAAACATGTTGGCAAATTTGTCATAATTCTGAACCTCAGATTCCACATGTGTAAAATAAGGTAGAAATATATTTTTTCAGAACAAACCCCGCTACTCACCTTCCTTTTGCTCAAAACACTTTAAAATCTTAAGGCATCTTCCTGCCTACAGGAGAAGGTCTGACATCTAACATGGAATCCTGGGAACTGATCTCTGTCCACTCTAATGGTACTTCTCACTCTTCCTTCACACCTACCCCTCACAAAACTCCCTTCCATCCAGCCATCTTCATTCCTTATGTCTGCCACCATCATGCCACCTTGTTTCCTGCCTCCTTGCTTTCTCTTCCAATACTCTCTGTGATGAAAACAAGTTTTCCCTTCCCTTAGCCTTGGCCACATGGGTAATGCTAGGTCCTTTTTGGAGTGTCACATCTTATCTCTTCCATTTAAACTCTGGTTTTGTTTGTCTGTTTAGTTTCCAAATAGAAACAACTTCTTCTCTTTTGAGTTCTTCTTGACTCAGATTTTTTTGTGTTCCCAACATGTAACATAGGACTTAGCACACAAAAAATGCTTAATGCCTTTGTTGAATGCCTGGGTCAGTGAATGCTGAGTGAGAAATCATAGGACCATATTATTAATGACATTGGGATAACCCATACTGTTCACCAATTAGAACACCATTGTATGCCCCAGTTTTGAAACTCACTGTAGCATCTCCATCAAGAGTAGCGAGTTGAGACAATTGGGAGCTCACCTTTTTAGAAAATCCCCATTCAGTCATCAACATTGTAGTTAGGATCACTTCTTTTCCAAGCTAGTTTCTTTAACACCTCCTCCTACAACCTCAGCATATCAGTCTAAACGTCAAGGTACATGGAAATGTTTTCTTCTACATGAGCTATAAACACAACAAAAGTATTCTTTCCTCCCAAGATGAGAGTGAACAATTCAGGCCTGATGTAAGCACACCAACAGTGGGTGGGGTTGAAAGCTACCTGCTTCTTCCACCCATCCCTCCCCTCCCCCATGTATATAAGAGGTATCCATGTCTTTCTCATTTCAAACATGTTTATTGTCTGGCTAACCCTTAGAAAGCTTTGGAGATTTTCTTCCTGGTTTAGAGCTTAAAGTTTTGAATATTATTCTTCCAGGAAAGGAAAAAAGTGTTGTGTAAGAATAGGTGAAAGGTGGAAGGATAAAAACAAAAGTAGGAATGGTGAGTAAATATTATCGTTACCATTTAATGATCTTCAAATACATTTTAATTGAAATTTAAATATCTCTTTAATGAAATTCCATGGTGCATTTCTGCAGAACTCAAGAGCCTAGGTATCAAAGCTTAAAATCCAGTTATCTGCACAATTTCACCAAATTGAACGCTCCAGCGCTCAAAAGTAGAACATAATGTAACGGCCTTTGTCAGTTGACAAGTCCATTTTCTAGGATTTGTAGCAAATCCTTGTTAAAAGTAAGGCAGCATTTTCACAAAGCCAAAAAAAAGGCACGGGTGTGGGGGGAGTCAGCTCCATTTCAAAACAGTTATTTAAGATATTTGCTTCATGAATTAAAAAAGCAATTTTTGATGAACTTATATGACCCTCTCAATGAGCGCTTTGTGCATTATGTGGACACAGCCTTAGAGAAAGCTTCATGTGTGAGTTTAGGGGAAAATTATTCCTGTAGCAAAGATTCATCATATCATGGTCCCATTGTTGAGATTCTTGACAAAAAGTCTAGCTAAAGCAGGGAAGCAAATGATGCATGAAGCATGGGTGGGTTCTCCAGAGGTTGGAAGCATTTAGAAGTATGACCTGTGTGACCCACATCATATTGAACATCCGCTGGGGCAATGCACACCTCTTACTATTATTTCTGATACCTAGACATGAAAAATAAAAATCCGTCTCTCAAAATCCACAGAACAGTCATGCGAATAAAGCAGGATGCTTCTATCACCAAAGTTCACTTTTCTTTTGAGTATGTTCATTGAAAATCTTGGCTGTATTTTAAATTGTATTCCCTCTTACAAAATAATGGAGTGACATGGCTTCCGTTTAGATGAGTTTGCTTTCACTTGGTGAGAATAGATTTTTTTTTTTTTCTTTTCCTTTCTTTCTTTTTTTTTAAATGTAAGCTTCACTGAAGGTGCACAGTGGTTTATTTTGGTCAGCCCCATTTGCCTGTCATTCTGTATCCTCTGTATCCCATTCATTAATGGTGCTGAGAATTCAGGCAACAGATTTCCAGGTGTAGCCAGATTGTACAGCATAACTCTCAGAGGTCTCATATAGGCTGTGTGCATACCTCATTTCAAGTTGCTTATTTTGGAAATGGGGAGCTAAACGAACCACTGCTCATTTCACTGATGCCCATTCACACGATGCTTATAGAGAAGAAAAATTTAAAAAAAATGTATTTTAATTTGAAAGAGTGGTACCTGGACTTGACTAAATACTAAAGTTTAAGTCACAAACCTGTTTTGTTGATGTCTTACCACAAAGAAGTGAGGTGTCCATGGTCTGCAGTCATCATTCAGGGGGGAAGTAATTGAGAGGAGAAAAGGGTATTCAGTCATTCTCCAAAGCTGGGTGCTCCCTACACCGTGAAAATCACATAAAGGACTGATGTAAATCTTCACTTCGTGGGTCAAAAAGACTTATGAAATAGGTTTGATGGAAGAAACTCTGTGCTGAGTTCCATTTCATTGTGCTCATCTCACCTACCATGTGATGCTGGAGCTCTTACCCTGGGAGTAACCTCTGTGGTCCATTTTCTTAAGATTCCTGACACTTGTGTTTCCAGTGCTACCATTGAGTTAATCTGATTGCCCAAAGCAGCTCTGTGAGTTGAGTTGCACTTCTGTGTGCAGTGGAAAACGTACCAGGTTTGGAATCAGGATTCCAGTGCCATCCCTTGGCAGTTCTGTAATTTGAGATGTGTTCAGTTTTCTTGAGAGTGGGGTTATCATAATATTCAAATGAGCTGATACCTGTAAAAGTATAGCCTATGAAACTGTTAATATCACTATTTTGGATTGCTGTATGCTCTGGTAGGAAGTGAGTGAAGTTGAATAGCGTGTTGTAGGAGGGAAGCATAGTCAGTGACTTTTGCAAAGTGAGATATGCTTTTTCAGGTAATATTCAACCTAAAACTTGTTCTTTCACTGCCAAAAGTCAAAGTTACTTATGACAACGATTGTGAATATATGGTCCACAGCCCAGTATTATCCAGAATGGATTGGTCAGCAATCGTGACAACTGATGTCATAAGAAAAACTATCTCCATTATTAGGGGTCACTTGTTACAAAAGGACATTTAAAACTTTATAGCTCCATAAAAATGTACCGTGGTGTTAGAATAAACATGAATTGTTTCTTGACTCTGACCTTTGAGCCAGTGATATTAATTTGACCCCTCACCATTCCCAAGACAAATGTGTCCTTTCATTAAGCAGAAATTTATTATGAACATTGAATTATTGAACTTTT